TTTTAAGAAGCTTCTTAGTGGTTTTCAGGTATTTTCCCCCAAAAACAAGATCTTATGTATAATTCCAGATGGAATTGACTGGTCCGGCTAAAGCAGGGGTTGGGGCTTGGCTTCTTCATTCACTCCAGAAGGTAGCTCCTGAGGTATCTCTGCAGAGTAGTGAAGTTTTAGAAATATGAAAGCCATAGTATTGGTGAGATCCAGGTTAGGTGAGAAAGCGATTTTAGTTCCAACACATGCATTAACTGTGAGACTTTGAGCGACTTGCTTAACCTGAGCTTAATACTCCTTTCTATATAATGACAAAATTTTATACATCTCCTAGAAAATTTAAGGAAGCCCTACATGTAAAATAAGGAATGAGGTGACTTGATGGGTACACTAATGCTGCCTGTGCCTCAAATATCTCCATACAATCGTTTTTCCTGATGAAATTTCTACTCCTAAAGTCACTATTAGGTTTAACCCATTTGCCGTTTAGAAAAAAAAAATGCAGCTCACTGCCAGCATTAATTTCTTATAAACACGCTCTTTGAGGCTGAAGCAAATCTGACTGGTTCTCAGTGTGAAAATAAAATATAAAAACTGTTCTTGGAGTTATTTCTAAATGGAACTTGTCTCTCAGCCTAATGTAACAGAAATGTGTACATAAATTGGATTCACCAAACAAATCTTTGGCTAACTGTTTGAGAACGATGTTAACATCGCAAGTAGGAATGCTACGTTTTCTAGGATTTGACATTTTCAGCGACCAAGAATTACTGTATTTTGTAAATAGAAATACCACTACTAAAACCAGAATGCTATAAATAGAATGATGTTATTTGTTTCCAAAGACTATCAATATACTAGAGACAAACGAAATAACAAAAGCGAAATATTTTGTGGCAAACTTTGGGGGTATGGTTAGGACTATAATCCATGAGTTATCTGGGGGTAAACACTGCAGTTGCAAGCACGCTGCTGGCAAGTATTCTTGGGGCAAATGGGAAATGGGTTAACATTTTCGGAAAGCCTCTGTTAAGATGCTCAGATCAACCACTAGTTCAACAGATGTCTCAAAATGTCATCTTTAAAGTGGAATGCTAATGTGATGGCTTCATATTTTGTCTTGAGAGTTCAGCACTCAAAAAAAAGGTTTTGTAGGAAATTCTTATAGTTTGACAAAGAAATCATCTCTATCTGGAAAGGCCTTATAAAATGGAAGATACATTTCTTTTAGAAGGTTCTATTATGTTCATACAGACTTCATAGAGGAAGAAAGTATTTTGCTTAAAAGGTTAAGGTTGTCTTTTAACAGAATAAAAATAGAAGTTTCTGACTCCTTGAAATCCATTCACTTACGTACTTATCAGGTGTCTATTTGGTACAAGGCCTTCTGTGTTAGGTCCTAGGGAACATGGAGTTCTTACTTCACAGATCTTACCATCTGGGAAGGAGCTGTATATTAAACCATAAATGAATAATTGGTTATCTAACTATATAATAGAGAGGTGACATGAGGTGTACACGTGGGGCAGAGGGGCAGGCTTTCCTGAAGAAGGATGATTATGCTAAACACTACACACAGTAGTCTTTGGCTAAGCAAAGAGTAGGGGTTGGGAAGGAACAGAATATGTACAAAGGACTTGAAGAGGTAATAAGCTTGGTGCAACTGAAGAACTTAGAGTGGTGTAGCTGAAGTCTAGAGAGAGAGAAGGCAAAGTACCAGATGAAGCTGGTAATGTAGACAGCTCTGCCAGATAGTGTGTTGCCTTGAATGCCTTGCTAAGGATTTGTCCTCCAGAAGAGTAATGGAAAGTCATTAAAGGGATTTAAATAGGAGAGAGATAAAATCTAATTTGCACTTCAAAAAGATGACAAAAGTGGAATTTTACTGAGCAAGTGAAAGCAGGTTATTTCTTAACACAATTAAATTTTATCTTTATCTCAATTTTATAAACAGAATATCAGGTCCTTTAAGTGGCTCCTGACATTTTTTTAGTATCCACTGTATTGGACATGGATCTTCTATATGTGCATAAAAAATTACTACTGAAATTTTTTCCTACTACACTGAGAAGTCTCTGTGAACTAGGAACATCACATCTCCAGGCAACAAGCTTTGTGCCTGGCACAAAGCAACCACTCAGATTCCCAGATTGTGTAGTACACTGGTTCTCTTTGAGAAACAGATGCTGTAACTGGCTAATCATTTATTAGATTCTATTTTTTAGATGGAATGGTTCTGAGCATGAATTCAAGTTTTTAAATGGTCAAATCTTTAATATCTGCTGTAAGTTAAAACTATTAGGCTATAAAGTTGATGCTAATATGTTTGAATAAAAATACTATATATCCACTGATTCCCAATATCATGTTTTTCCTTTTGACTAGCTACAGAAGATTCAGGAGGTGATGACAAAAAGTCCAAAACATGTCTAATGTTGTAATGTAATCCAGTTGGCATAAATGTCAAATATTGTTTGCACTTTTGAAGAAAAACAGAAAATATTTTTTAAAACTGCAGCAAATTTTATTCAGCAAACCATCAACCAGCAGAGTAAAAGGAGCTTCAGTTGTGGCACATCTCTCTTGTGACTATCAAGAAAAAATATATTTCTAACCTGAAAACCCCAAGGGTAAAATAAAGTTCAACAAAAGTGCAAACTAAGGTGAAAATGGGTGAATTTTTTTTTTTTTTTGGTGCCAATTCGTTTTAAATTAAAAATATATAATCCTGAAACTGGTCACCAATTCTTTTTTTTAAAGTTCTTATTGTGCTTACTTTGGCAGCACATATACTCAAGTTCTTATTAATTAGATTCATTTGCTAGGGCTACCATAACAAAATACCACAGATCGGGTGGCTTAAACAACAGAAATTTATTTTCTTACTTTCTGGAGGCTGGAAGTCCAAGATCAAGATTTTGGCAGGGCTGGTTTCTTGTGAGGCCTCTCTCCTTGGTTTGTAGATGACAGTCTTCTCCCTGTGTCTTTACATGGTCTTCCCTCTGTGTGTCTCTGTCCTAATCTCGTCTCATAAGGACATATATTGAATTAGGGCCCACTCATACCTTATTTTACCTAACTTACCTCCTTCCATGCCCTATCTCTAAATACAGTCACATTCGGAGGTACTGGGGATTTGAATTTCAACATATGTCTACTGAACTTCAACGTGTGACACAATTCAGTGCATTAACATTAATTGTGATTTATACTTCAAGTCCCTTCCTGAACTAAAAACCAACATGTCTTAAGAGTAAATACAGTATAGAATGTATAAATATGTAAATGCTATATAGAAAACAAAGAAAAAGGATGTCAAATGTTATTCCATCTGAAATGCGTATCATCCCTTTCCTTTACTTTTTATCCTTGATAATGGAATGGTAAAGACCACACCGCTTTTAGCTTATAAACTACGTCTTTATCCTATGCCCACCCCTCTCCATAAGTCTGAAATCAATTATTTGATGTGTAACTAAGAAATTTTTAATATTCAGAACTATTCTTCTTAGTGAAAGAATTATCACTTTGTAAGACATTATCTGGATAATCCCAATGCAAGTTAAATCAGCTAACATCATACATTGTTAAGCAGCATGTGACTTGAGTATGTAAGAACTTCACTATCAAAAACCATTTCAAAGGACTTCGACAGAAGTTACTTTAAAAAAAAATAGTTACTAGAATGCTCTACTAGGCATTCTATATGTTGACTTGTCAAGAAAAAATAAAGACAACAGAATACTTCTACTACATGGTGTGTGTCTGGACATCAGAAAAATTTAAGATTTCGTCATTTACTTATCTATAAACACAGACCAAATTAGGAAACAGACCAAGTAACAAAAATTACACCATGGTTTTTTTTTGTCAAAAGATATCTAAATTACAATGAATTGAATGATGACCTATGAACCTCAAATGTTTTGTTATACAGGAGGTATTAATTTTAAGCAGCAAAGAAATGTCACCATTTGTTATATTTCTACAAGTTAAGTACTTAGAATCCTGATTGCTGCTCTCACTTTAGAATATAAGGTCCATAACATGAAAGATTTTGTCTGTTTTGTCTGTTTTGTTCATAGCTCTATCTTGGCACCTAGAGAATGCCTGGTATAGGTAGGTCCTTGGTAAACGAGAAAAGTATTTTGAATAGATTGCACATATCAAACAGGTATGAATGAAGAATGTCTATAATAAAATATTTTTAGGGAGAAAAAAACTCACTCAATATATACACCCAATGAGTGTTGCCTATTTAAGTCATCATCTTGGGTAAGTAGTATTTGTATACCTTATTTCTATTATTTAAAATAATTCTGAAACTCTACTTCTAAGATTATTTTAGAAACTGCGTAAAAAATCCGTTCCTTTACCTTTATGTAATTTTTGACCCCAAAATATCAGTCAGCTCAAACAACTTCCCCTCCACATTTACTGGAAAGCAAATTGTGGGGCATTTCCAAAAATAAGGACTTTACTTAAGAACAAATACTTCATATCCCAAACCAGTGGTCCACTGAACAACACTGCCTGCACTATAGCCAGGTTTGAAATAGGTCTGTTGGAGATTTAATCTTTCAACTCGACATACTGAGGCCTTTTCAAATACTCCTTAAAAATTATGACTCCCATGATCTGTCGCCGTGTATGAATGAAGTAAGTGTGATTATATGTAATGATCTAAATTTATAAATGAACTTGATGTCCATAAAGCATATGAATTTGATGTCCATAAACACCTGCAATTCCAAATATATGAATCTATTTTAAAAAGAATATCTGTAGTCTTCCTAGTCAACATTTAATTTTGCATTTATTTTCTGATGACTACTAAACTATATTTTATCATAAAAATTTAGCTACATATATTCCATTGTTAATTATCAGTTTTGCTGCTGAACATTCAAACATTTTTTCCTCAGATATCAAGAGTCTTTTTTATTCACTGTAAGTAATTAGGTAAAAAAAACAATTTATTTAAGAAATGATGAGGCTTTCAAACAATGTTTAACATTAATAAACCAACACTGATTTATTGTTTTCTGATAGTTTAGAAAGACTGTATAATTACTTCCTAGACAGTTCCTTTGTAGCAATGTCCAGCACAATGACTTACACATAACAGAAGCCTGAAAAATAGTTACGGAATTAATAATAACAATTTAATAAAAAGAAAATCTCTGATACTAACCATTTAAAAATCATGCATCTTCTCCTCTATCCACCTCTTTGCTCTTTATAAAAGTGGGTTTTTACCCTTCAAAATGAAATCAATAAATCTTTTAGAAAATTCAGTGAAAACTATGAACCCTTTCCCAAAAAAAACCAAATATAGCCACAGACATGTACACATATTCTAGGAGTGCTTAGACCTCTTGGGGGTATGGACCCTGAGTTAAGAAGTAACATTTTATAATATATCCCTGCATGTAAGTATATCCATATTTGCATAACTATATTTGAGATAAGCTCTATGCAAATGATATTATGCCTTTAAATTATCTTATTGCATAAGCTCTGTTGGAGAGTCAACTTTTGTGAACACATCCTGTTTTAGAGCTCATTTGGCTCCCTGTGGTATTAATTTACTCTATAATAAATGACCCACATACTGGAAAGTCAAATTTGAGTCTAACAAACTCCTTTAAGTGGTAGGGGTAAGAAGTAAGAGAAAGGTAAAAAAAAAAAAAAAGCAGCTAGAAATAGGTGGTAATGGGGAAAATAGGTGCTCACAAGAAGATGTCAGTATATCAAAGGAAAAAAATTGATGATATACTTAATCTACTTTATAATTTTAACTAATTGAGGCAAGGGAAGAGAAATGTGAATCAGTGAAAAAAAAAAATGCTACGAAATAAAGGAACAATGGAATCTCTGTACACTGTACTAGCTCCATCATCTAGGAGCTGCAGGAACACAGTTGTAGATAAGTAACTGAAAGATGGGGAAAAGTATCTCCAACACAACTAATGAATTTCCAAAGCATCTGACATCTTGAGAGTGGCCGAATTTTTATTTCCCAAGACAAACCACTCAAGCTGCAACTTGAAGATAAAACTTTTTAAAGAGTTTCAAAGTGTACTTTCACATTAAGGAATGTAGGCTTTTCTCTTCCAAGTCACAGAAATAAATCTTGAAAATACTCATCAAATTCTTCTTCCCTATTTAAAGAAAAAGTACATATATTGATTAAAATCGACTATTAGAGAAAAAAATTACTAGGTGACGCATTATATGAGATTAAAAATATTTTAAATCAACATATTTGCTGCATATATCAACCTATTTCATAATTCAGCCATCAAGTAATTCTTAGCTTCTATAATAATCATAACTTTACCCACACTGATTAAAGTTAAAATGTTTTGTATGTTGGAATCTCTCCCTAAATGTATTTATGACCTAAGATTTTACTTTGATGTACTCTGTAAAATGTCATTGCTTTCCTTTACTTTTCCAGTTATCTTTATAATTTCTCTGTTAATTCTCATATCAAATTATAGCCTGATCAAGAAATAAATAAAAAAGAAACTATTTTAAGGAAAAATATAAATCTTACTCCTAGAAGTGGGAAAAATATGCTTAGGCCGCAAGTTTTTATTACTAAGAGAATAGAAATTATGTAATTGTAGCAAGTAAAAATTATGTCTAAAACAAAGAACAGAACTCTGAAAGGAGATATTATATTATAATGTGTTAAAATACTATGAAAACTGCAAAGTAAGTATTAAATAAATATTAGTGCTAGGAGTCAGAGTGATACAGTGGAAATGGCACAGGTTTTCAAGTCAGACAAGTGTTTAAGTCCTAGCTCTGTCACTTATTAGCCGGGTGAGCAAGTTACTTAACTTCTCTTGCCTCAGTTTCCTTTTCTGTAAAATGGAGAACATTACATATCCTCATAGAGTTGCTGTAAGGATTAAATATATGCAGTGTTGCTTTTCTTCCTTCTGGGAACAGGGAATCAAGCTGAAAAAATTCAGTCTATCAGTCTCTTTAGACAACACTCTTTTAGATCAGAGATTCACAATGGAATTCCATCATTTGGTCTTAAATAATTGTGAATGCATAAAGCCATCACGACCACGTTTAAACTAAGAAACAATTTAATTACAGAATCAGATAAAGTTGATTTAAGAATTATCTGCATTTTGGCATTCCCCATGCTACAGTCCCTCTTCCCTAGCATGACAGCAAAATGTAGTAGAATTTTTAAAGTTGTTCTAAGAATATATAAAATTAGCTGAATCTCTGTGTGGACTCAGATGTTCAGTACTTGATCAACGTCAAGTTTTTATAAGGTCACAAAGAGTTTTGGATTATGAAAGCCTTCTTAGGATTTACTCATGTATCTTTATTGCCTAAAAAGATAAGATCTATTCTGCCATGTTCAGCTGTAAAGCCATCTAAGAGAAAGTTATATGGATGAAAGTTTAGTCAATAATTTAAGATATAGCAATATTCTATTTACAGCAATAACTTTTTAATAATGTGATGTATAATGACCACATTTGGGAACTCTGTGGCTAAAATAAGTAAATAAAAAGGTTAAAGATCACAGAAAAAAAATAATTTTGTTTAAAAAGCCTCTTTCCAACATACTTGAATTCTGGTACACTGAGAACATATCATATAATTAGCAAGATGTTATATAATCAGCTTAAGTTAGTGAATTATGACTGATTTAATAGTCTCTTTCTATTATGAACCATTATGCCGAGGGACTAACAAAATGGGACTAAAATTTATTTGAGCAATTATAGTTGTATTGTACCAAGGTACTTTACATTCTTTATTTCATTAAAACTTCAGAATAAACTCTATGCAGTAGGTATTATTTTATCTCTTCTAACAGATAAAAGTTCAAGTGGTGAACATCCCAATATATGACAAGAACTAATAACATTCCAGCCACATCCAGACAGTTCTTCCAAACCATAACACAGAACAATTCATGCACTGAGTTGTCTTTGGAGGCTAAGATGGGTGTTGGCAAGTCAACTTTTACACCTGTATATGTCTTCAAGGAGCTCCCCTGTACAGGTTTATGATAAATAGAATATCATGGATAGACCGGTCTGGAAGCTAGTAAACAACCCTTCTTTGAAAGATTCTAAGCAAAAACCAGAAAGTCTTCTGTTAACGTGAGCTGAGGAAAGATTTATTCACCAAGAGGAAGCTAGACAAATTGGCTGTTTATGGTGACAACGACTGCTGGGGATAAATTCTGATCTTACCAGGCTATGTAGTCCTTGGCATTAAACAGTCATTCATGATGATAAGTTTTTTCATTAACTGTTATCAAGAATGGCTGTAGTCATAGCTTCCTAAGGGCATGTATTATCTATTAATATAAGAACTTACTGTGATTTTTCATCAGTCTCTGGTAGTGGGCCCTTCCAAAGTTCAGATTCTGAAGTACTTTCTTTCTCATCAGGGTTTCCTGTTCATTTAAAAGAGATTTTTTTTTTTAATGTATTATATTTAAAATACTTTTTGAACTACCAATGCAATTAAATTAACTTCAGATTTAACTGCAGGTTAGCTTCAACTTTTATGGAAATTCACTCTTACAGATCAATAATTTATTTTTAAAAGTAAATAAGTAAGCTGAGATATACCAATGTCAACAAAAAGACCATGGATTTAAAGTCTTATGGAAAATCTCCCTAAGTCGCACTGAGGTAAAGTAGCAATTCCACTATTAACTCTTATAAAGGAATGATCCCTTGCAATATATGTGGTAGTCTTTGATTTAGTTTCTTATTTTTATTGATCATACAGAAGACATGCAGGTTAAGATTTTTGTAGAGAGTATATTTATATTAGGATCAAGACCTCAGGCAGTGAAGTAGTATGTAGGGACCGCTATGAAAAAAAATTGTCAGCCATTTAAAAAAATTAATGTTGATTACATTAATGAGAAGAGGCCTTTTCCAGTGAAGAAAGAGGCATGTCATACATTGTTAGGAGTAAAAATTCTGTAAACTTTTTATTGAGAAAATTCTGGCAATATAGATTAGCTTAGAATGTATATACCTTTTGACCAGTCATGCTGTTTTTAGGAATTTAATTATTTACTTGAAATAAATAAGTACCTCAGATATATGTACTTATATGTCCGTTGTATAATAACAAAAAAAAAAACAACCAACATCTCTACCAATTAGGGATTAAGATTAGTTAAATAAAAACTATATAGCTGTTAAAAAAAAAAAACAACAACACCTTAGCATAATCTGTATGTATTACCATGGAAAAATATCCATGCTATATCAAATTTTTAAAAAGTTACAGAAAGCATACATAGTATAATCTAATTTATGGTTACATTACATATACCTATATATAGGTATACAATATAGTATTATATATGTATGTATATGTATGTACGCATATGTATTATAAGTTTGCAAATCAACCAAATTTAGTGATTATATTACTTGTGGGCCTAGGATATTTTTACTTTCTATTTTAAGAATTTCCAATTTTTTTTTGTATTTTAAACAATGATCATGTTTTATCTTTAAGAATCAGTAAAAACATAAAGATACTTCTATTTTTAAAATATAACAAAATATAGACATGTTTCCAATGAATCACCCTGCAGTAGTCAAATAAAAATTATCAAATACTGAAAAATGTATTAGGAGGCAATAAAATTATCCCACAAAGTAATTACATTAGCAAATAAGTCCTTTCCAATAATGACCATTATTTAGTCTAAAAATGAACTGATACAAATTTGTCTTGTCAATATAGAATATCAATACAGAATGTCCCTTAGTTAAACACAACACAAAAATAAAACAACCCTGATATGCCACAGTGGTTCTAGTCTTTTACCTGTTGGACTTTGATCCTTGAATCAACATGCACGTCTGAACTTTGGTCCTAACTGATTCCATTCTGGCACAAATGCTAACAAAAAAAGATGGCAAAAAAAAAAAAAAAAAAAAAGGCGGGGAAGGAGGGTATTTCTAACAATCTACATACAAAGATGATAAAATTATAAAGCCTTGGGAACAAGATTCCCACTCAATGACAGCCAGTGTCCCAAACTGAATATGAGAGAAGAAAGACTTAAAAGTCTTATTTTTATGAAAAAGAAAACACAGAAAATGAGGTATGCCCCTCCCTACTACCAGAAGTTTGACCTGGCTGAGGAGTGGTAAGGAGACTTAGGGTTATTTCTGGAAGATGGAGGAAGATCAAGAGGACTGGGAGGAGGACAGTGGAAGGGAGAAGGAAGAGTAAATGAAAGAATGAATATAAATAAATCAAGGCTTTTACTCAAAAAGCTTTTGAATAATGAAAAATTGGAATTGGAAAAGAACAATTTTTTTTCTACATTGTATAGGACTTTACATCTCTCATTGGCTATGTATTGTTAGAAATGGATAAACTAAAATAATATTTCTTGTATTACCCTGTGTATGCTGTGTGTGTGAGTGTGTGTGTGTGTGTGTGTGTGTGTGTATACACTATTTCATCCTCTGAGAGCATAAGTGTACCAGTCTCATGCCTGTTCTAGAAACTGTCACTATATTTCATCTAATTTAGGAGAAGGACTTGCTGATAAATTAGGATTCACATAGTGAGAAAGGAAGTGTCAGTGCTTTAAGACACTTCAAATATGCTGAAAACAAAATTGGTATAAACTAAATAATTTATAAGGAGTATGTTGTACTCCTAAATTAGAGGGCTGCCTCGATTCCTTCTTCATTAAATTTGTAAACAATATCTTTAATTTTCCATTTGACTATTTTCTCAGTACAAAAGTTCTGATTGTTGAACACTTAAAAATCTTCCTTAAGAATTATACTAAAATGTTAATGTTTACATTTGAACGGTGGGATTTGGAGTAATTACTAAAATTTTTCCTGACTTTGCCATAGTAAATATATATTACTTTAAAATTAGAAAAAAAAAATTCTTTAATTTCTTTTTTAAAAAGATTTTTATTAAAATATAGCAAATGTATAATATTGTATTAGTTTCAGGTGTAAAAAAAAAATTCTTAAGTTTATAAATTTCCAAATAAGCCTAGAAATCTTAAATTTCTGAATTTCTATCAAATTACTCCAGAAATTATAAAATGAATTAGATATGCTGTTGAAGTACGCTTTATTCTTAGGCCCTAAGCCTATGCAAAGTATTTAAGAAATTCAACATTGTATTACTGTTGAGATGCGAGGGTACTGTTTGTTACATCACAAATGGATGGCCCCTCATGGACCCACAGGAGATTCTGTTCACGAAACTCTGCCTGAAAAAAAGCTAAATACCTGCGAGCTCTCTTTATCAGATGGGTACAATTAATCATTCTACTGGGAGTTTCCTTCTTTGGTTTGTCAGGAAGAACAGTGATAAATTTGTGATCTACTTTCACAATTATGCAGGATTTTTTGGTAAACATTTTTCTATATTACTTTTAGCTTTACTTTTCTATTCTCTTATTTTTCCATTATTCTGATTTCACCTTTAAAAAAAATCTTATTTTATTATATATAGTTTTGTAAGTCATTATGAATACTTTATGGAATGTTGCAAGGAAAAATATTAAAATCTGTAGCAAATATTCAATAAAATCCAGTCTGGTTTGATCCAATCTTTTCAAATCCATAGGACTTATTCCAACTTCATTCCTGTTTCTCTTCCTTCATATTGTATAATGTAAAACTAAAATATGTACCTATTGTATTCACTGAAAAAAATGTTTTTGCTCTTAAGAAACTTTTAAATGTTCTAAATTGGGGGAGAAATCATATACATTTGGTCTTCTTTCTATGCTTTTTCTCATGTAATACAAAAACAAAAAATAATTTATATCAGAGCAAGTCACAATTCATGGAAAACCCAAACTGCAAATAACTTGAATCTATTTTTATTAAAGAAAGAAATACTTGATACTTACTATTTACAGAATTTTCTGATTTCTTTGACGATGAATGTCCTGAAAAGAAAACAGCACTGTTTTGTTAAGAATCATCTCGCAGTGGTGCAACACGAGAATTCTCCCCCATACTCTAGTTCCCTTTGTAATCTTACAGTAAAGCACTTCACTGTTCTAATCATTTGTGTTTCTTAGACCTCTCTGCCTAATTAAAATGTTAGGTTCTTTTAGACAGGGATATTTTATGCTCTCATATGGCTTGGAATACCTACCTAACATAAAGCTTAAAAAATAACATCTGTAAAAAAATCTGTTACGGAAACAACAACAAAAACCCAACCCATAGCTTAGCTATAATATAACCAATATTTTACCTATAGAGAAGTTCAACATCTGAAAACAGTTTACAAATAAACACTCATTTTTCATAATACTTTTCCAAAGATCATTACAAGTGATAATTAGTAATCAGTAACTGAAAAATCACACATAAAATTGTTATAAAACAAAAAATTTCAGTTCTACAGGGGTTATCCAATGAAGGAAATGAAAAAGTACTGAAGATCTATTTTTTAAAATTTATTTTATTAGTTTCAAGTATACAGTACATTGGTTAGACATTTATATAGTTTATAAAACAATCCCCCCTAATTGCTCTTTCTTTCTTCCGGCTTTCCACCTAGCCATTACATTATGAATATCTATTAATGTAATTTTAAAAAATCATCACTATATACAATCTCCTGCAATAAGACCCTAAGGGGAGATATTTATGAAGGCTGATAAATCAAAAAAGGGCAAATAATAATAGATGGAGAGTAACGATTCCTCCAACCTCCCTGGACAGGCAGTCTCATAAACCAAAGCTGTCCACATGAATGGCCCTTTTAAGGCGAAAGAGGGTGTGAGAACTACAAGGTAAAAAAAAAGAAAGCCAAGGCCTGGACTGCAGTGATTACTTGTTATTGTTTCTTCACTCTTCCTTATTTCCTACTCATCAGACAGCAAATAAAACAAAGCTAAGCTTCTGGTGGCAAAAGAAACGCATTTCTGCTCTGTCATGTGAGGAACATGATACCTGCTTCCAAATATCTATATGTGAAAAAGAGGTTAGGCTTACTGTGGAGGCCTAAGGACATAATTGGAACTACAGGGAAGAAGCTGTAGGTTTGGGCTAAATGTTAAGTGAAACCTGCTAGCAATTACGACTACTGAAACATAAAGGAGTATTTTGGAGAGTATTGGGTTCCTTTTCCCTGGAGGTGTTGAAGCAAAAGCAGAACAAGTATAGAGCTTCTCAAACTTTATTGTCCATATGAATCATCCAGTAATTATAATACAGGAGATCTGAGAGAGTCTGAGATTGCACATTTCTAACAAGATCCCAAGAATAATGTCAGAGGACCATATTTTGAAAGGCAAAACCACAGAATATCTTTTCAATCAAGATTCCATGGCTGATCACTGATGTTCCTTTCAACACTGAGAAACTGGCTGAATTCACTGATTCACTTATTCCCCTAACATTTATTGAATGCCTACTATGTTGAGTAAGCACTGCTCTTAAGAATTAGAGATAAATTAAACAAGTCACAAAGGCCTTTCCCTAACAGAAAACAAATTATTCCAAGGGTGAAACGTATTTTCAAAGGAGAAGTGCAGGGTATGAAATGTATCACAGATTACTACTCAAGTTTGGGCCAAATTAAGATGGGGTACAACCCCATCCATGATCCCCGGTACTCAGCGACCTAATTATCTGTTCTAAAGGTACTGAATAAACTTTTACAAGGTAGGGATTAGTTTTTTAATCTGAAATATGCAGATTAATACAGTATCATACTATGATATGAATGCAATGATATTACATAATACAATAATGAATACAACAAAATTTTCAAACATAAAAATTATAAAAACAGTAAAATACATGAAGTATTTTACTAGCACATGAGGATAAATATTTTTAAAAATTCATGAGATTTGTTAATTAAAATGTATTTTGGAGTTAGGAAATGATTAAGACAAAAAGGTATTCTACTTTAAATACTATTTCTCAATAAATAATAGAATAACAGTATTTTCCACTCACTATCTATCAATTTTACCAAGTGATACTAAATGCTTAAATATATTATGATATACAAGAAGAAATAAAAATGTACACAAGAATGTAACATATCCAATGATCTTCATCGCTGGAGAAAGGGAGCCCTCTCTTGTCCAAGTATTATGTTAACAGTGGCCTGAATCTAATTCAGTCTGCCATTATCTATCTAATTTAAGTCTGATTCACTCTAAATTATAGCCAATCTGACTCTATTATGGACTGAAAAAGCAACTAGCAGTAACCTTCATAAAAGCTAACTATGTGGCAAGCATTATGCAAACTTCTTATATGCATTACCTCATTTCAACTTCTGAACAATCTTATGAGCTAGGTACTATTCTCATGACCATTTTACGCATAAAGAAATGAAGGCTTAGAAAGCTTAAGGATAATGAAAAACTAAGTAGCTGACTAATGGATTTGAATTTAATAATTGTTTACTAAGTACATGTACATGGCACCATGCTAAGTTTTGAGGATACATTATATCAATCTCTATGATTTTAAGAAGCTCATAAACTAGTGAGAAAATCACAGATCATGATATTTGAAATTGTAGTGTTATAATTTTATACTGATTTATAGATTATGTACTGTTTTACAGTATTCAAAGTACTTTTCACATTCTTATTTGATTCTCCACAATAAGCTCAAGCAATACAGAGGCCAGGTATTCACATCACCCTTACTTACATGAGGAAAGTAAAACTCACAGTAACAAGTCTTTAAGTGACAAGCCAGGAATTAGAAGGCTGTTAACAATATTATACCATCTGCCAAAAATGAATTAATACCAACCTTTTTCTTGAAACTCTTGTAGTTAGTACTATAAGTTTATGTCTAAATTCTCCAACCAGATTTCTTTCAACTACTATAAAACAGAATTCTAAATGCACTCAGCAATGAAATTCTGCATTTTAAACATATGGCTGATTACATTTCATATTCAGTAATGTGAGTAGATATTATATTTTAATTCTCTTTTACCTTTATCCTTTTTCTTAGAGGTTTCGTCTGCAGAAGACAATCTGGATTTCTTATGTGATGACTCTTCACAATCTTTTTTGATTTTATCTTTTCTTTTTTTTGACTTGACTTCTTTTCGCCTTTTTGTTGAACAACAAAATTAAAGTTAACTTTTTCAACTGACTTTTACAAGAAATAAAAACCAACGAGTAAAAAAAATCAAATCAGTTAAAGCACTTATTTTTAAAAAATAATTTACGTAACAGGGAACCCTTAAATGAGTCTGTAAATATTTTAGATTAGTATACTATTTATGACTATTCTGTAAGATAAGGAAGCCTTAACACTGACAAATTATTATTTTTTTAAGCTCTGTATACAAACCTTAGTAAATATAAATCATAGTTTTACTCACTTCCTCCTTTTTATATTCTATCACTTAGCCAATTACAATCAACAAATGAACAAACAAAAAAACAAACTCACAGACAACAGAATGGTGGTTACTAGAGGGAACAGGAGTGAAGAGGAAGAGGAAGATAGTGAAGGGAAGACTAGACTCAGGGTGGTAAGCACACAATAAAGCATACAGATGTTACAATATAAAGTTGTACAACTAAACTTTATACAATGTTATTAACCAATGTTGCCCTAATAAATTTAAAAACAAAAGTTAAAATATAAAAAATTACGAAAACAAATTTCATTTCCCTCCACATAATTCACATCTATCTACACTTTAAAAAAACACATACGATAAGAAGAAACCACTGTAACAGTTCTAAAACACCAATAAATAGAAAATTCTTCCTTTAAGAATAAAGTAATATAGTAAAGGTATGATGGGATGAAGATGGAAGAGCTTATTGTTAACTCATACGTCTACTTTAGACCATATATCCGTTCATTGCTGTAGCTTTATCTCTTCTAGGCCAGGCTTACAAGGTTGTCAGTACCATGAGTGGCAAGCAATTGATTTTAATTGGTTAAAAAAAGAAACACTAAGTAGGAAAAGGTAATAATGCTTAAAGTGGGACAGGGAAGGAAGATGGAGAGATAACAGAGAGGATTACTTTCAAGAAACCTTTAAATTAAGGTACTTGTGCCACATAATACTATATAAGAATCACTTTTTCTCATAAGAATCATTTCAATTTTGAAAGGAAACTCAGTCAAGGTTAAATAAACACGTCTGGTATTGTTCGGTATCATTGATGGAGAAGGGAAACAAAGGTTTAAGCTATTCTAGTAATCGAAAAAATTCTGCTAATTTTAAAAATTAAAAAATCATCAATTATATGCAGACACATTCTAACTTATTCACTCGATATGTAGACACATTCTCACTTATTCACGCAGAGCCTGATTTTAACATTTGAAATGAGTATAAAGGGGTATAATTCTTTGTAAAAACAGCAAACCTCAATTAAAACACTGTTTAAATGAGACAGAAGAATCACTTTATGAAGACCTGCTTTATAACAGTTTCTAAGAATATTATGATATCTGAATATTTACCTCAAACTAGAAATTCTAGCATCTATCCACCACCTTGCACAGGGTTTCACATTTAAAATTGCTTGGCTGGAGTGGTGAACTTCCAGTTCCCTCATTTATACAGTCATATAGTAATGCTGGATATTCTATATAGTCAACTAATTAAAACTATCAACCACTCAAGTCTATGTTTAGACATCTAGTGCAGGTAAATGACTATATCTAAGACTACTAAATACTAAACATTAACAATAGCATTTTAAAAGATATTACCTGTGATGAAAATTTAATTTAAAGGAACATTCTTGGCATAACCCTAAAGAGAAAAAGTGAGATTGCTGAATTTTAATAACTGCATTGCTACTCTACTTAGCTACTCTAATATCATAAGTTCCCATTTTTCCTTACATTCTTTTACTATGAAGAGAAACAAATAATCTGAAGAAAGCAATCTAATTCTCACCACCTCAAAAAACACATACATATAATAAAAATGATGTCAGAATGCTTGAGGAATTGAAATTCTAACATTACCTTAGAAATATGTGCTGTCAATTTATTCTAAAAGCAAACTGTTTCACGGACAGCATTAATGCATATCTCACACCAAAGATATTTAATATCAGTAGTGTAGGTAGTCATTTCCCCCAGAAGTACTCTAAGAGTTTTCGAATGGAAAAGAGCTTTTCAAAAAGATCCACGACTGTGGCCTCTCTCCTTTTGCCTTAATTTTGGTTCACACTAGTTGACTTTTCCTCATGAGCACTTCCAGGAGGAACTGACACCAGTCTGTATTGGTGTGTGTTAAACAGCATATGGGGGAATTCATGACATCTTTCTATAGTGGAGGGCACATTTATTTAGGACTCTGAGAAGGTTGTTAACATGATGGAGAGAAGAAGCTGACACATAATATTAGCTTAGGAAAAAAAATAAAGAATGACTGACAGATTCTAAAACATAAAGAGAAATTACTATGTTCTGGGGTATAATCCTAAGATTTTAAGACTGATATGAAGAATAGTTATGCCATCTAAATTTTTCTCTATTGACACAAAGAGAGTGTACATATTTAGTACCCCCATCACAACAATACGGCCAGCAGCTAATGTGAGATTTTACATGGCCTTTTCTGATGCTGTGCATCTCACTCTGCACTGGTGACATTCTCGAGTTAACGGGGAGAGGTCTTCTCTTTACAAACTATCAGTATACATTTGGCATTGGAACTATTTCACCTAAATGTCACATAATGCTAGTAATATAACTTTTAGGCTCAAAAGTTCTCTGCTACTTTGGGAAGCTCTGAGAAAAAGAGCACTTATTGGAAGATAACATTAAAATTTTTGAATTGAATCTTGAATTAGTCTATATATTTAAAATCTAAATTATGAGTTAAACTTTGAAGAAATCAATCATATTCCCACCTGAAGTCAACTTACTTAATTTAACAAGTGCATTTCTCTTTTCACCATGCTCAATATAACCAAAATTAACTTCCCAACTCTTTAAGCCCTCTTTTTTATCACAATATTTATTTCCACAGAAAAACTGGCCTGCAAAAAAGAAAAGAATATTAGCTATGATAGTTGGTGACAATTTTTATCTATACAATCTGGTATTATCTCTGAAATTTACTCTTAACATACATAAATTCTTAGTTCTGCAAAGTCAGCATTAAAAAACAACTAATCACAGTAATTATAATATACTCAACAAATGTGTATACAAGTATCAAATTAAAGAACTGAATGAATGAACTGTTTAAAAAAAATTAGTCACAGATTTCTTGCTCAATAGATAGATCAACTAATTACAGAGTTTTAGTGACTTCCTGTTAGAGAATCGTACACTTTGAAAAATGGGAATACTAAGAATGTACTCACTAATGTCCTAAAAGAGTAAATATATTTTCCAGATTAAACGCACTTACATCTGGGTGAATTCTTTTCAATATTTAAAATATAAAATTGATCAAAGTTAATATTGTTAAGTATTAACATAATGGCATTTATTTTAAGTAGCAGCATAAAATGGCATTTAAAGCACATTTTAAAATGCTAACATTTGGAGATGAAGTAGAATAATCAAACTCCATGCTCTAAATTTTTAGATTCTAAAACCAATACCACATTACCATGTCCATTGTATATTAAAACCTTCCACAAATAAGGACTATTACCGATACTCAAAGGGGGAAGGGGGGGGCTATTCAACAATTATTAACTTTGATAGAAAAAAAAAAATCAAACTTTTATTTGTATAAACAAATAATCTCAATAACTACACCAACAGGAACAAAACTGAACTTTTCATAAAAAAGAAATTATCAAAATGAATTTTGTAACTATCAGTCCAAAAGACTGGTAACTTTTTTAAATTGACATTTTAAAAATTCATTACAAATGAATACTTCATTAAATCTGTACATGTTTGGTAATGGTTCTATTGTTAAAACAGAAATAAAATTATAACTTTATAAATTACAGCAA